CTGAAAAGGAAATGAAAAAAAAAAAGAGTGTCAGGGAATATACACGGTGAGGTATATATGTTTCAGTGTATATATACCTATAAGTGGCATCTCTAAGTGTGTATTTCCTGTGTACATACACAGAGACGTATGTATTTCATGGAGTATGTTCACGGAGAGGTGCGTATCTTTCATTGCATACACATTAACTTGTGCATATATGTCAGTGTATATACACTGAGAGTTTTTCTATTAGTACTATTAACGGGACTAAACTACTTATGATTGGTGGAGTACAGGTGAAATTCAGTCTAAACAGCCATCAGTCGAACTGGCTTTAAACCTTAGCATATCTTAACATAACTAGAGAAATATGCAACAAAGAAAGATGTACTCTGGTTGGTAAAACGGGGTTTAAAACCTGTCGACTACACTACGGTCATTAATTAAGGCTGCACAAAACCTCTTTACCACCCGACAACATCACATTTGAGAGAAATACACATCTCGGTGTATATATCCTATCATCCACGGGTGGGGGTTTGAACCCGCGATCAGAGTCACCCAAAAATCCAGACCGACGCGTTAGCCCACTGAGCCAGCTAGCCACAATAAGATTCATCCAATTAGGGATACTGTAGCTAGCGGCCCTGTGGGGTAACGTGTCGGTCTGAAGTTTTTGTGACTCTCTGATCGCGGGGTTTTAACCCCACCCGTGGTATGGTTTGGTTGCAATCGTGTCATTACGATTTTCGTGAGTTATATATATTCTATCCTCTGATCTCTGAATGAACTCTAAATATCATCTACTCTAAATTCTAAAACAAAAATTTGTGCTAATTAAAAACATTACCCTAATAATGGAAATAATAAAATAAATAAAAATTAAATGTTTAAATTAGAAAAATATATACTTAAGAATAATAATTCCTTAAAGGTTTCTCGTAACTGAGGGTGACAAGCGGAGTTTTAGAAAGAAAATCCATTAAATTAAGACAACCTGCTACAAGCTGACCCGGATTTGGTACATCGAAGTGATTATAAACAACATTTGTCACTGAGAAGCCGGTATCACATGGAGACGGAAACAAGAGTGATTAAGTTTATGCATAGTTTTAACCCCCAACCCATGTCCTCGTTAACTGGTTTGCATAAGAGAAATCAATTGGAGGTCGAAATGTCCAGGCCTATATTTACTTTTATTTCTATTCCATATGAAATTCCTCTCAAGGACAAAGTACGTCTATAGGTACAACCTTAAAAACGTTATTTTAGTGTTTAAGGGATCTTAAAATTTTAAAAGGGGGAATTTTTTTTAAAATGATGAGAGAAACTTCAAAAAAGAACGATGAGGGAACCTCAA